GAACAGCTCTGACACCCGGGAGTCCATGGCGACCGGCGCGGCCCCGCCGCCCCGGTGCGGCGCCCGCTCCCGGACCGGGCTCCCCGCCCCAGCCCCACCGCCCCGGCGTCACCAACCGCCGCGCGGCGCCACGGGAAACTGAGTCCCACTCGCCTACAGCTCCCAGCAGGCCCCGCGGTCCTACACACTCCAAACTACAGCTCCCGGCGTGCTCCGCGGCGCGCCCCCCTCGCTCCTTTATGGGCGTCCCGCCGCGGGGGCGGATGGGAGTAGGAGTCCGAGGGACAGGGCGCCGCCTGGCGGCTGCGGCGCACCACGAGCGGGGTGACGCAGCGCCTCCGGCCCGGCCCTGCCCTCCGGCATCCGCCGGTGCCTCCCCTCGCCGTGCTCCGGAGGCGGCGCCCAATGGGGCTGCGGCCACGTTGTTTCCAAACACGGCAGATGCCTCTCCCTCCACGCCTCCCGGAGGAGAGCCCGCCGCGGGGCAAAGGGAGCTCCTCTGCCGGGAGAGCGGAGCCAACAGGGGTGCCAGCCGCAGGCGCAGGGAGTTCAGCAGCCTAGGGGCGGCCGGCAGGGCTTTGCCCCTTTACTGCCGCCCACCTTGCGGGTTTGCTCCGAGCGGGCCCCGGCAGAGGGCTGGGGGGAGCCCCAGCTGGGCTGTTTTCAGGAGCCCCCCGGGCCGCCCTGCAAGGGGGTAGGCAGGTTGGAGCACCTGGGCCTGCCACAAGCGCCGCGGTGCCTCTTCAGCACCCCAGCAATGGCTCCTGCACAAGCCCGGGACAAGAGAAGCGGGCCGGCTCGGCTCGGCTCAGCCCGTCCGACCCTCCGGGAGCGGGGTACCGTCGATGCTCCCTCTGCCGGGTGGAAACCCCCTCCTTCCCCACAAGACGTGACGCCGGCGTCACCGGAAGTGACGTATGCACTCCCATGATGCCCCGCGGCGGCGGCCATTCAAATCCCAGCCGCCGGCGGCTGGACAGAAAATGGCGGCGCCTGGTACAGCGGTTACTCCTGCGCGAGCCGCCTCTCCCGCGTCCCCGCTTCTCATAGCTGAGGCGCTACCGGCCATAGATCGCGGTGGTGGCGGGATGAGGGCCCGGCGGAGCGGACCGGTGGTGGCGGCGGCATGCCCCTCGGTGTCCGTGGTGTTCCCGGGCGCCGTGAGCCGGGAGAGCTGCTGCCGCTTCGCCTGCGAGCTCCTCAAGCACGTCCTGCACCAGCGGCAGCAGCTCCCGCTACCCTACGAGCAGCTCGCCTACTTCTGCCGGCGGGCAGCAGCGCAGGTGAGGCCGCCGCGGCGGCTGGGTTTTGCCTTTCGGTTAAAATTTTCTGTCAGCGAAACGTTTAATACGTCAGCTGCTCCTAAAGTAAAGCGCTCGTAGCTGTAGCCTTAAATGTTACCACAGCATAATTGAAAACGAAACGAAACAAAACAAGAAAATTTTGGATGGTTAAAGGTCTCAACAAGTTCCTGTTTATCTCTTGTTGTCCCTCTTTCTGCTCAAAGTATACTAATATTTTGTTTGTTGCTCAAACAACTCTAAGTTTTTTTTTAAACTGGATTGATAGCTGATCTTTAAAAGATAAAGTTTCTAATTCTTGTGGGAATTCATCAGTAGCATGATTCAGATTCAAACTGAGTGGCTATAGAGCTTTCTCTTGGCTCTCCCAATTCTATATGTGGGTACCTGTATGTCTTAAAAGGAGCAGAAGACCCTCTGAACCTTCCTTGACTTTTAGGGGTGGGATAGGCTCTGCTTTTTGCAGGGTGTATTAGGTCTAGTAATGACATGTGCCAATATTGTTTTGTTTTCCAGGATGGAGATGCGATTAAGAAGCCACCCTCTGTGGACCTGGCAAGCAAGAAGTGCCAGCAGGTGCTCATGGAGCTGGAGGGAGTATTGCAGCACTTGGAAGTCATGTTTAGTTTGACACTGGTTCCTCGAGTTCTTATCCTACTTGGAGGCAATGTCATGAGCCCCAAGGAGCTCTATGAGCTCAACTTGGAGGGTATTTATGAGGCCAGTGCTGAGGAGAGCCTGAAAACTGCATCATGTGTTCGCAAGCTCTTCCATTCACTCTTCGTTGCCGATGTCTTCAGTGAACTTAAGGCTCTCCCTGTCACAGGCACTGTCATTATGCTCCAAGGACACCGTGATTGTGGTGTTGATTGGTTCCGGCCTAAACTCAACTATAAAGTGCCCACCCGAGGGAGGAAACTAACTGTTAATTTGTCCTGTGATGGAGACATCAACGTACGTGCCTCATCTCCTCAGCATATGACTTCTACCTGGGAGGACTACGTATGGTTTCAAGCGCCCGTGACGCTCAAAGGCTTTCATGAATGATCAGTGCTCTGTAGAATTTTTATGGAATATTGAATAACTTTTGGTGCTGCTTTAAGTGATAATAACTTTATCAAATGTAACCGCGTATTCTTATCTGCCTGGATCTCTTCCCCAGGGCATCTGCTGCCTTCCTGTAGCTGGACTGTGTTCATCTGTCTTCATCTCCTGGATTGTTGTTGAAAGCAAATACCCTTTAAGGCACAGTTGCACACAGGATACAGTGATTCTTTAGGGACCCAAGTTGTGGCACAGGACATGAATTAGTGTATTGGGAGTAAAACTTTCCTGCCATGTACTTGCTGAACTGGCAAATACTGGATACATTCTTCTGTCTCCTGAATTTGAATGTTGTTATTTCTCTGGTAATAATTACTATATTAGCTGATTGTTTGGGAGTCCAGATAATGTATGTGACTATTAATACACTTGGCCTTTACTATAAAGGCCGTAACCACTCTTACCTACCCTGTTCCTGCAAAAGGAGACCTTTCCCTGCAGTCTGATCAGGCTTGAGTGCTCAAGTGTTTGCCCATCTATTTGATAATAACTAACTCAATTTCAGTTACTTAATCCAAAGAGTGGGATGTCACACCAATTGGGAGGCCTTGTAGCTAGTACAGTTTTGTGCTATTGATGAAGAGAGGTTGAGCAGTCCTGTGAAGGCAGGGAAGCACATCTTCCTAATTTTTTTATTAACTTTTAATCTAACAGCCCTGACAATCAGATATACAGTTAAAATTAAAGTAAGCCGTTTCTGCTCTAATCCTCTTCAGAGGAAGTTAGGACTCCTGTCCCAATATGCTAGTTTATTCTCACTTAAAAAAACAACAAAATAGTTTCTTTCTTATTTTCACCTCTTAGAAGTCTTAGGCTTGGAATGTTTCTGAAATCTGAAGAAGAGGTGAGGGGACTGTGATCAAATTCAGCACTATCTTTACCTCTCAAATTCCTGTTCTAAGTCAGAACACATTACCTGGAAGCAGAACTTGAGCCCTTCCTTCAGGCCTGGTGTCTAGTGCAGAGTGGGACAGGGAGAGAAGCCCTTAGGAGCACAGTGTGTCAGAACCTGGGTATCTGCTGGAGTTTTCTGCAGCCAACTGGGTATGGGTCTGTAATGAGCTTAATAGCTCCATGTAGCTCGATCCCCTTAGAAAAGAAACTTGAACATTCTGGTAGTGGTTTCTCGCTAGCAAAAATTGCATGGTGGGGTGGTAAAAATCCTTTGGAGGGAGGGTAAATGTTGAAGTAACCCTCAACACTTTAACTTTGTCATGTTGGAATGGAATGAGGTTGTAGGAGGAAATTAAGTTGATATTTTTGAACTTGAAGAACACTAGAAGTGCTGTCTCTGCCTTATTATCCATTAACAACTGTTTACAATGTGTAGTAACTGCTAAAACTAGCTCTAGGGTAAAAACTGCTCGAATGAAGAAAGCTGCCTTATGTGCAGCTGCCCACTTGAATATGTAATTGCGGGTCTCTTAAATGAAATATAACTTGAACGTAGGAGTGTTTGTGCTCAGGAGATCAAAACACCTCCACCACAGCTGCTTGCAATGCATATTTAAGAATTCTAGCACTCAAGTATTTAAAGAAGCTTTTGAACAGTAGCCTAAGTTCTGAGAAACAAGGGTCAGTTCCTTTCTGCTCTCTTCCCCAAATGAGTGCAATGTTACCACATTAAACTGTTTACATACTCTGTTATACTTGAACTATGAATGCAGCAGTGATATGGTGCAGGAAATGAGAGAAGACAAGATGCTTTTTTCTTTTTTCCTTATGAAGAGCTTTAGAGCTTGATTAATAAGTCTAGTATTATAATCAATATCAAAATAAAATGCTGTTTTCTGTATGTGGACTGGATTTATTTAATCTCTCAAAGTAAAGGTTCAGCTGGTGGCAAAACAGCTTACGTACATCGATGTATGTATCTGAACCGCAGTTTCACAGCTGTTCCACCTTTCTGACGAAGTGTATGATGTCTTGTGCCAGAAGCTTTGGTTCCTCAAAGGCAGCAAAATGCCCTCCACGTGGCATGTAAGAGTAAGTGATGATGTTCTTGAACACCTGCTTTGCCCAGACACGTGGTGTATGTACTAACTCTTGAGGAAAAGCTGCAATCCCTGTGGGAACATATACTCCAACCCTAGAAAAACATTAGTTAACTGTATTTTTGAAAGAAGTTCTGGGGAAAGTCTATAAAAACCTTCTGACTCTGGTAGCTGTCACAGTCTGCTGGGGAACTTTTACCACAGCAACTCATCCTGTGGTCTGTACTCTGCTGAAGAGCTTCACTTGTATTTGCATTTCCTTGAGTTAAGAATGTTACACCTGAAGATGTGTAGAGCCAACTTTGCAAACAGGTCAGTGGTAAAATGTTTCAGATTTTTAAGTTTACTTTGTTTTGTAGTTTTGTGATACATGGCAAGATGCCATACCTCTTGTGAAAGCCAGAAATGAGCTAGCTCATGTCTACTTTAGAATTTATGGTATCAGTGTAACAAGTAACTGTCTCAAAGGGAAAAACTCTCCTATTTGTTTGTATGACCAATCACTTGGAGAATTCTGCTCAGCAGCATTTTCCTGGTCAGCCTCTCTTATAGTCATCTTAAAGGCAGCGGCTGTTAGAAGGTGCTTGGTTTCATATTGCTTCCCCAAGTTTGTACTAAACACTTGCAGTTCTTGGTTTAGCCACCAGTAAGCCATATCCTTCCTAATTTAGTTTAAACTTCTTTTAAAAATGCTCGTGATTTTCTGTTTTGTTTCTGCTGAACTGAGTGACAGATTACATTTGCTTGGTGAATAAATACAGTTCTATGTATTTTGAACACAAACAAGACTGAATATACTTTGACAACTTGTCTGCATTGTCTCGGCCACGAGCCACCTTGTGTGAATTACAGGTCCAAAAGACAAGTGGCCATTGACTATATTTATCAAAAGAAAATAAGAACTTGGATTTTTCATGAACTAGTTAAGTCTGCTGCTGTAAGTGATCTAAAGGTTTATACATTTAGATAGGCGAATGTGGTTTGATCTCATTTGCAAATCTGTCTTGCACCTACCACTTCATTACCTGGCATGAGCAGCTAGATTGGAGAAGTTCTCCTTGTAGTATCGCACTGAGGACACAATGGAGGATGTTACCCAATAAATCATCACGTTGGTCAAAAGGTCATCAAGAGAGTATTTGCTGTTGAGAGAGAAAGATGAAGCATTTCATTGGAAGCTGTTTTTCAATACGCTGTATTTGGCTCATGCCCTGAAGAACAGGTCGTGATTCTCCACTTGTTTTCAAGCAGCAAATTAACTGGTACCGATGTGTGCAAAGCAAAACTGTCTGGTGCTGAAGCAGTACTTTGCAGATATCCTGCTATAAGTTTAAACTACTAGCCACATGTAACCTTTCACCCTTAAAATTCAGCTTTGACTGGCCAGCCTTTTACCTATCTCCTCATTAGTTATCATCACTCATTCTTTTAACAAGTGTTCTAATTGAACCTTGTTCTTACCTTTCCAAGCCTCCATCATCTTTATCCAGAAAAGATTTATCTGTCCAGGTAGAGAATTTCTCCAAAATATATGCAGCAAGCCCCACAGGAGAGTCATTCAGTGCACAACCTAATTCAGGAGAAGAACGGGAGAAGCTATTGCAGTTGCCTGACATTGCAATACTTCAGTGGAACTTAAACTGGACTTTTACGAATTCTTCAGAGTTTTCTATGAGAATTCAGGAGAGGGTCTGTATTTTACTAGCCCTGGTACTACTTTATTCTTGACAAATTCAACCCAATGGAATTTCAGCTGTAACTAACAAGTGCTACAGATTTGTACAATTCCTATACGAAAGAACCTAGGAGCTAAGAAAGTCCTGTTGGCTTCTTGGTAATGTGTGGCAGAAGGAGCAAATTCAGATGTAAAGGGATTACACTCTGAAAAGACATTTCAGAAAAAATGTTTGGGAGCACTGTCCTGCTTAGAATGGATAACCAGTACCCCAAGTGCTATCATCACTTTTTACCAAATTTAAACAATGTAGTGTTGCATATCTGTTACCTGTAACTGCCTTTGGGGAATGCTAACAAACATTACAAACACAGCAGGCACACAGCATATTATAACTGTATTCTTACCTGTAAAACAGGGATAGGGATGATTTCAGTAAAGATAGAGGCTTGCCTTGGGAAAATTCCTGTACGATAACCTAGGCTGTAGTTTTACAGTGCACTCAGTGTTGCCTAATCTCAAGTGTACTTTTGTGCAACTTCAGCACTGAGTGACTTTGTAGAAGACGATGCACACCATGGTCTCAATTTAATAGTGGACATAGCCAACACAAAGTGAGTTTGTGCATTGGCACAACAGTTTCCCTGCACTGGCAAGTTGAGTGATTTCTGATGGACGTATCAAAGTCATGTAAATATAGTACATTTTAGCCTGTAGAGCAGGCTAAAATGTGCCAGCTAGTACATGACCCATCTGAAGATGAGCATTTTCTGGGCTGAAAGCTGTGTCTGAACCACTGTAATCAACTTCCATAATTAGATGCTCAGAAATACCAGTCCTGTTCGCAGCTTATTACTCATTCAACCTGTACCACATCTTATGTACCACAACTTGTGGTGACTGAAAATACTTTAGCTTTGCTTTAAACCTGCCTAATGAGAACTGCACTGATAATGTACACATTTCTTGAGACAGAGTAGGGAATGCTTTTTTTCCTCTATTCATTTTAAACATTTTGCAATTTTAGTATGCTACAAAATCCCTGCTCTTTTTCCAGGTTGGAGTGTCCTAGACTATATACAACAGTGCTTGTACGGAAGCTGCTCGGTCACTTCAGTCTTCCTTTTCTCCCTGTCCTGCATTCTTCTGATTCTAAAGTATATTTATGAAACAGGGTGAACAGCAGTGCAACAGATTCTTAATATCAGGGATTCAGTGATTTGTCTTAGTCTCATTTTGCATTCTTTAAAGGTTTGTAAGATTCTGTTAAACTCTGAGCTGGCTGACGTTTCAAAGAACTATCCATGACTCATGGATTCTTACGTACAGCAGCAGCCAAACGAGAGCCCATCGTGATTTTCTTCCTCCACTTAAATTGCTTTGGACTTTGTTGACATCAGTTTTTATTGGCCAGTTTAGTCAGCCTGTCACTTAAATGTTTTTGCAACTCTCTGCGGTTATCTTTAGATTAAACCAAATCTTGGATAGCTGTCAAATTTTCACTTAACCATTAACTTTTCTCTGCAGAGAAATTAGGGTCATGTTGAAATGGACAGGTGCCAGCACAGACTTTTGTGATACTCTCCCTCCCCTGGAACTTGCTTACTTATTCCTATGCTTGGATTCTCATGTTAACTTGTTAAGAAAATGATTACATTCATGGATTAATAAGGCAGATTAATTTCTTTAAGAACATTGGGGGAGGAACCTCAACAAAACTTTTTTGGTAATTAAATATGTTCCATTATTGGATCCACAGCTCTTTGATTCTTCTCTGAGTTTTGAAACGTGATTTCTCTGTGATACGATCACCTGTAAATCATTTCTCCCCTTTAAAATAGATCTGCTATTTTTCTGATCAGAGGCTAGACATACAGGTCTTGGTTTTCCTGCAGCTACCTTCACTGCTTGGCTCTTAAAAAAACCTCCACAAACTCAACCCCAACCTGGTATCTTGTCTCCTTTTATTTCTTTGGTGTGATCAGTTCAAGCAACAGACTACGCATTAGTTAACGTTTCAGTTTGGGTTTCTTCTTTTTCAGTGAATTGCCAGGATGGGGTGCTGTTCGTTCTATGGCATTTACATCTGACACCAGTCTGAGACATCTCCACTGTCTTTCCTGATTAGGGATTATTTCTGATTAGGGATTATTTCTGATTAGGGATTATTATAGAGGAACACCCCATAATCCTCGCTAGTGAGGACTGATGCAAATTATTCATTTAACTTTTCTGAAATGTCCATATCTTTCTTCAGACTCCTTATCTACTGGCCTCACTATGCTTTTCAGGTGTTTGGGCAGTGTCTACCTTTCCACAAGTTTCACATTGCACTTGCTTACGCTATTTTTCTTGCTTTCATGCACATTTATTTCTAGAAGCTTCCATTTTAGGACTCTGTGCTTTACTTTAAGAGGCTTTTTGCAAAGGGGTTCTTTCTCCAAGAGAAGTGGCATGCCATTTAAAAGACTTTAAGAAGTGGTGTTTGTAGTCTCCATCTTTTTTTATGCTATTTCTTTTAACTTCCTTTTACACAGTTCTTGTCCCCATGTCTGGCATTCAATCACCAGAACTCATTGCTTCTCAAACATGGTGGCCCTTTGTTCAACCGTAAATTTTTATGTACCATAAACTGTGAGTATACAGTGTTCATAGTGATATAGAGAAAGTTCATTACCTGCAGTGTCTGGTTTGGTGGCTTGGATGTGTAAGTAACCAGACTCTCGCAGAATTTCATATACATTCTTCTGCATGAAAGGGTATATACGTCGAGCATCTTCCCTAGTGAGGCCTACGAGCCATGGTAAGTAAGCACCAAGCATCACAGAAATCATCCTTCCCAAACCTTGTTTGTTGACGAAGACCACATTCAGATGAAGCCCCTTCACAGATCTAAAATTAAGTTAATGGATAGATGGTTAAATCAAGCAATTGTCTGTTTCTATCTTTTCTAGAAAATAAGTTTGACTGTAGCCGTGACAGAAGTATTTCACTGAGTCCATGGACTTATGTACCTTCAGGTTCCTTAGATGGTCTCGAACCTGATCTCCTATAGTGGGCAGTTCTTCATTCTCACAGCCCCTGTTTTTGCCTTCTGCAACTTGGGCAGTGTGGTTAGAGCCCTTG